AGGTTGGTTGAGCACTAGAACCTGCATCTAGCAGTCTGAAGGTCCATAATCCACCTCCATTTCTGCCTCCACCCAGAGCACTGGGCAGAGCTCTTTATATAGTGACTCAGTCCATAATAGCTCATTGCTTATGGGTATGGAAGCAGTAGCCTAGCAGTAGGCCTCAAGTGGTTTAGGGTCAGGTGAGGATCTTGGCCATAGGAACTTCCATTTTACAAACACACACACACACACACAATCATGACATCATTTTTTAATTTTTCAAAATTTGCCAAAATTTTTGCATTTACCATAAATTTCTCATAATGATAAAAGTACCTCTAATAAGCATTATTTAAAAATCAGTTTCCAGAGATGGCCCAACTGGCTGTGGTGGGAAACCTGCAAGCCACTCAGACTTGCCCTTCTCAGGGCTCTGGAGAACCTGTCATCCAGGAGGCCCAAACCAATTTCAGAGGCAGGCAAGAGGGGCTTTGGGGAAACAAAAAAATCTCTGGATTTTCCAGTGACTTTTGACTGCAAATTCAAGCACTGCTTGGAAGATCCTTTTAGAAACTGTTTTAGGCAAACAAAAGTTTTTTAATTTTTAGATTTAAATGGAGTCTTTAGGTTATTTCTTTGCAGATATTAAATATTATTGTTCATAGAACAATTAGAGCACACAGGGGAGCATTTATTCAATAACTAATTGGGGTGGTGTTAACCGTAAGAACAATGAGAGGGAAGAAAGAGGAGAAATAGAGCATTTGTCTGTGTCCTTTGTTTTAATATTGGTTACTCTAATATTAACAGGACTTTGCAAACACTGCCTCTATACAGGGTTCCTGGTTGGTCAGGAGGATTCTCAAGTAATTTTAAAGATCTTGGTTTCAAAACAGAAATGAAACAAACCAATTCAAAGATTCAATTTTTTTTCTGAGAAAATATTGAAACACTGAATGTGAGCCAAGATTTAGTACAAGCTAATTCCCCAAATTATTCATATCAGCCAAAAAGAGATACCACCTGAATTCAGTAATTAGGGATTGTTAAATTGGTAGTTCTCAATATTTAGCAAGGTATGGGGACATTTTTGTAAGTACTCTGGGGATGCTATTTGCATTGAGTAGATCAAGGCCAGGGATGCAACTAAACATCCTAAAACGCACAGGACAAGCCCCCTGCTCTCAACAAAGAATCTTTGGTCTAAAATATCTATAATGTCATGATTGAGAAATTCAGTGGGGAAAATGGAAGTTTCTATGGCCAGGATTCTCACCTGGTGCTGGCTTGCTGGCTCACTATGTTGTTAGTGACTCTATATAAACAGCTCCGCCCAGTGCTCTGGGCTGCAAGGCTGCAGGAGAGCAGAGACTGGAGCGGTGGCAGTGCCAAGGACAGACTGAGACGGCTGTGGGGGTAGAGAGGCCCAGAGGCAGAGACCAGCTTGCTGCATGCAGACTGGCTCAGAGTGGACAGGATTCTAGTGATTGACCTGCCACCATGGGAATAAAGTTGGGTATAAACCCTTTCACCCCAAAAACATTCCACTGTCATTTTGAGATCTCACCAAATCAAGAGCAAACTTGCCTAGGGCTGAAACCCATTGGCAAGACATTCTGGTTCAAATGAAGTCTAAGTCTAACCAGTCCATGGAATATTATATGCCCATTAAAAACAACCTTGTAGATTAGTGATGCTCAGCTCTGGCTGTATGCAAAGATAAATGGTGAATCACCTGAAGAGATTTTTATAACTCCCCATTTCTGGCCAGTCAGGATCAGACTTTTGGGATGGGACCTGGGCATGGCTATATTTTATAATCTCTCCAGGTGACTGTAATGCATAGCCAGAGGACCCCTCATTCAGGGTCTCATTACATATAGATATTAAATGACAGGGTAATACATACACACTAATTTTAAGTAAAGCATGTAACAAAGCAGTAGGTAAAATACAATTAAATATTTATTAAAATATAAATGAACTATAAAAATATATATGTACTGTAAAAGTGTACCAATGTATAACAGTACTTATCTGGGTTTTATGATTTTCTCACAATGCATATGTATTAGTAATAAAATACATTAACTACTCTGGAAAACAGTTTGGCAGTTTCTTATAAAACTAAACATGCTATGACCATATGCCCAGCTATTGTACTCTTGGGTGTTTATCTCAGAGAAATGAAAGCTCTGTCCACAAAGAACCTGTACATGACTGCTCAGAGCAGCTTTATTTACAATAGCCCCAAACAGAAAACCCAGATGCTCTTCACTGAGTGAATGGTTAAGTAAATCTTGGTATATCCATACCATGGAATGGCACTCAGCAATAAAAAGGAATGAGCTACTGATATATGAAACAATCTGGATGAAGACCCAGAGAATTATGCTGAGCAAAAAGTCACTCCCAAAAGGGTTACATACTGTATAATTCCATTTACCTACATTCTCAAAGTGACAACTTTAGGAAAACTGAGAATAAATTAGTGGTTTCGAGAGGTTAACAAGGTGGGTGAGAGGCAAGTAAATATGGCTATTAAAGGCACATGGCAACCCTTGCGGGGATGGACATGAGCTGTCTGCTGACTGTATCAATGTTAATATTTTGATGTTTAGTTTTACAAGGTGTTACCAATGGGGGAATCTAAGTAAAGAGTAAGTGTAATAAAATAAGACAATTGGAATCAATTTTAACTAGAGAAAATACCTATTGTGTTGAACTAATCATTACCTTAAGGAAATTTATCTGTTAATAGGAATGAAATATATGTGCATAGTGGAAAACATCACTTTGAGAAGTAAAAACGTCCATTACACTTCCAAATTGGTGAATATAAGAATTCAATTTTCAGCAAATTACTTGATGAAGGGTTACTACATGGTTTGCTCTGCAGCAAAGACACTTATCCTAAAGAGTAACATGCAGATGAAGGGAGAAGATGGATTGCAGAGAATTAGAATTTACCTGTTCAGGAGCCTTCTCTGTTCAGATGCTTGCTAATGTGGAGCGTCCCACATCTAACCAAGAGTCAGTGGAAGTATGACAGAAGATGCACAGGAACAAGCCCTGCTCAGGTATTTGTTCTCAAATTTGGAAAACATCAGCTTCACAGGGGAGCTTGTTAAAATGCAGACTCCCCCAGACACAGCCATACACACTGATTCTGTGGCTCAGGTGAATGGCCCATGCATCTGCATTTTTAACGAGAGCCCATGGTGAAAGCTGTCTCTGAGGACCTGCCGTAAGGGATGTGGGAGCTACCTGGATCAGGACTACCCAAGAAGTGACTGCCGGCCTCATAAGAACAGCATGTTTTAGTAGTGTTTCCTTAAGGAAGATTAAAGGTATGCTTCTAGTTCATGAGCTTATAAAGATATGGGGATAATTGCTGAGAACTGAACTCACACTGAGGAATAGACTAGATGTGGATGCCCAGCTGCAGAGGAGAAGAGAAAAATGGTGGCCACTGTGCTGCAGCAATATGACCACGGCTGGGTGGCTCCAGGGCTCAGGAAATGCCTGGGTGTCTAGGGGGATCCTAAGGGAAGCTGGGCCTCCCAGCACTGTGGCTGGGAGCAGTGGGAGGGAACATGCTGTGACTTTACTGTTTGCCTTTATAAAGACCAGAGTGCGCTCAGGAACAGAGATCGTACATCTAGACCAAACAAACTGCTAACAATGTATGAATATTGTCCAGCCTTTGACAGGTTCTTTATCATTTCTGACACCACACCTGGCACAGGTTCCATATGAAATGGGGACTCAGCACTTTATCTTTGCCTGCAGCCACAGCTACTTCTCCACCTCCCATCTTCCCAATCTGCTTCCGGGCTGCCTGGCCGCTGACCTTGTTTGTGACCTCTTTGCACCCCTGTCTGCCCTTCCAGCCTGTTTCTTGGCTACAACTCTGGCTTATCACGGCACTATTTCCGATGACTCACTTCAGCTGCTTAGCCACTGGTCTTCTCCAGTGCACAGTCTTTCCAGCTCAGCATTTCTCTGAACCTCCAATCCCAGCTTGACCTGGCTGAAGATGTCCTGCCACCAAGATGCCTCCTCACCTGGCCACACCTGTGTGCTGGTGATGCTAACTGTAATTCATGGCTAGAAGTGGCCAGAGTTGGGTCTCCTTCCTTCGGCCTCTTCTTTTGCTGGTCCTAATTTGATCTCACCTATTTGGATATTCCATAACTGTCCTTTTTCACACTGGCCATAGTCTCCACTGACTCCTATCATATAGGACTAGTTAAGGAAAAGCAAACGGGTACAATGTTAACAGAGCAATTCTTAGATACCAATTCTAACCGGCTGTTAATGGCCGCAGTGAATGCAGTGTTCCAAAGGTAGTGGCTGTCCTCAGGGGGCCATGACCAAGGCGCACGCCTGCCCTGGCTGAAGATGGAAGCAGAGTCTTGAATTTGAATAGACTGCCATCTTTGGACCGAACAGTTTTTTCTTTTCCTCAGGGCTGATTTATTAACTGCAAATGCTTTATGATATCTCTTTTCATCCCTTAACCCCCAATCTTTTAGTATAGAAACTATTTTGAATGCATTAGCATTTTCCATTCAGATTGGCTATGATACTATCTGCAGAACAGAAACTGTATGAATTGTCATTTCTCCAGTGAGAACAGTGCCAATGCCTTTGGCAGGTTCCATTTTGTGGTTCTGGTTCGGCAATTGTGCAAATCTTCCTAGCTTTGGGCTGGAGGAAGCGTAGCTTCTGTGGTGAATAGTGTCAGAAGAACTGCTCCCCATCATTTAAAACCTGTTCCCTCTCTGGCTGTTTCTTGTCTTTATCAAATGTCTGCAGTTACTGGTATCTTGTGAAAAAATGCTGCCTCGGTCTCATAGTTGAAACGTGAATATGCAGATCTCGGGGTTAGCATACAGAATTGTTTTCCTGATTCTCTACACAAAACCAGGGCCTTCCACAGCAGGGCGTGCTGACCTATGTGTGTTATGTCCTACCAAGTACTGTCTTTGCAAAGGAGCACTGACTTGACTTACCTTGTAATGGAAGAGAAACAAGCCACAGAACAGGCTGTACAGGTCTGCTGTGAGCAGGGAGAGGTTGACAGAGGTGGCACTGGTCTTCTTTATGACCACAGGCATGAAGCTGTAGAGACCGAACATGCAGGCGCTGAAGCCAACATAGAGCAGTCCTGTGGGGCGAGGAGAGAAAGGTGGGTCACAGCCTCCTCCGGGCCCCTGGGGAATGGGACACACCACTCAGCACTCACACCAGGAGGGCTTCTTTCATTCTCTCAACTGAGGTTTATTGCAGGGTAAAACAAGGTAAAAAGGTAAAAATCTGTATTTGAAAATTAATTTTCGGCTCCTCACTATATACCTGGTATTTGGCTTCTTCTGGGAAGGAGTGCCCCTCAGCAGCTAGTCAGAACATGAGGTCAAGCTGCCGAGCTCTATTTCCAACTGTGCTGTCATTAACTTCTACTGCCCATGCCTTTTAAAATATTTTTCATCTCTTTTTTATTTGTCAGGTAGGAACAAAAGTGCTTGGTACCATGTATTGCTCACAATGATGAATAACTGCACAGTCCTTAGAATGAAAGTGTTTACAGGTCAGAGAGATGTGCACTAAGCCAGAGGACAGAACTGGAGCCCCGACTGCGGCCTCGGGCAGGCCACTTCCTTGCTCTGAGCACAGGATGATCTGTCAGTTTGTGAATGCTGCTCTGTCCTCCCCCACAACACGCAGAGTCCTGCTCCCCCATCACCTGTCCTGGCATACAATTGTTCTCACATGTTGGCTCTGCTGTTTTATAAGTAAATAGGTAAATGCTTTGTAAACCATCAAAGAATTAAGTTTTGCAAAACAGAAAAGAATTTTAAAAAGTTCTTGAAAGTCTATATGGTTGGTCTCTCTACTTCGAAAATCCCCTCCCTAATTATAACTAGATAAACAATTGTTGATACTAATTCTGTCAGCACACAATTTTTGTGAGTCCCATGCAGGAGTTTATGGCTAAAATCTAGGGCCTGGTTCATCTTTTCCAATGCTGATACAACACAAGGGTAGAAAAACAGTGCTCATTTCTCTACCTTCAAAGAATAAGGTATAGAATAAGCATAAGGAGTACAATTCAGTGGATTTTTGGAGATTTTAATGAAAGTATCTAGCCTTCTCGAAGGAATCCTTGATTAAATGTGTCTGATACAGGCTGTGGGCTGATTGTTTCCTCTGAATCCTGTGAATTTTGGAGGATTTCGTGGGTCCAGGACCAAGTCCCTCTGACTATGAAGACCAGTGACTCCTCCAAAGAGAAATTTCGTTTTCCCATATGAAAAGTATTCACAGGCGCAAGTCATCATTCTGTTTCTAATCCTAAATTTAAGGAAAGCCACATCATAGAGATATAAAAAAATGTATTTTGAACAGTAAGTAAGCAAACTCAGTACAACAGCCCCCTCTAGTGTGCTGCGTGTGCCCGAGAGGGAACGGAGTAGCCACGACCTCAGCTGGGAGGGGTGGAGATCCTCCAGCGCGCTCTCTGTCACAGTAGCATCAGGCTTTTGACTCCATCAAAAGTTATAATTCCCTAAAAATGGTCAATCTTCCTGTACTTAGGTTTCATGCTATGTATAATTCATTTTCCTTTTAACCAAGTTACTATAAATGCACTACTAAATAAGCTATGATTAATACATGAAAAGACATAAAAATTAGTTCAGTATTCCTTTAAGGAATCTGGGATTAACAAACTAGGGACAAGATACAAGTTTAAATTAATTCTTTAAAAATAATCAGACTTGATCAGAAGATAGTCCATGACACCAGAGCCTTTGTGTGTGTGTGTGTGTGTGAGGGTACCACTGATTTAAATTATATATGGCTGGGCTAGAAAGTTCCAGAATCTTACCCTTCCATCACCTTTCCTAACACACTCTGGATTCTCAGATGTGGCATCGGATGTTTTATATTCCCTCAATTGTCCAACTATGTATTTGCTGAGTACCTGCAGTGTCCTCGTCACTCTGCTATGCCAGCAGTGCAATGGAAACCAGAAGAGACAAGGAGCTCAGAGCTGGTATTAGCACCATGAAGGAAGTGGCAGGGGGCTTGGTGTAGGCAGGCTGATTAGATAAGGCTTCTTGGTGGAGGTGACACTTACTGGAAAGCTGAAGGATTAAAAGGAGGAGCGAGAGGGAGAATATTTGGGGAAGGCAGATTTGCAGATGAAAAGACCCTGAGAAGGGTCCGGGCTTAAAGGCTTGCAGGGGCTGCCAGAGGCCAGAATATCTGAGCAGATGAACAGAATGGGGCAGTGATGAAAGATGGGGTTGGAAAACGTGTAGGGGATAGAAGATGCAGGGCTTTGGTCTTGGAGGGAAACTAGTATCTTATTCTGCCTGCAATAGGAAGCTATTGCGGAGTTTGAGGCAGGTGGCTAACAACTGGTATACATTTTTAAAAGATGATTATAGCTACTCGTGGAGAAGGGACTGGATGGAGAAAAGCATGAGGAGTAGTGACAAGTATAGTGTCACAGTCCAGGTAAGAGATGCTGGTGGCTTTTCTTGGAATGGCAGTGGAGAAGGGAAGTGGCTGGGTTTGTGAGACTCAGCAAGCCCTTGTGATAGACCAGACACAGGGAGTGAGAGCAAGGAGGACACCAAACACCCACGGATCTGGCCAACTTAGAAACTAAGTAAATTGTCACACCACTTACTGAGATGGAAAGAACCGAAGGAGGACCAGGTTTTCAGGGGAAATAAAAAGCTCCACTTTGAACATGTGAAGTTTTAGATGCTTATGCATCATCCGAGAGGATCTGTCCAGCAGGGAACTGGACATAGAGTTGGAAGGCTTAGATAAGAAGTGGGACTTTACAAGAAGAGACAAGGAGCTCAGAGCTGGTATTAGCACCATGAAGGAAGTGGCAGGGGGCTTGGTGTAGGCAGGCTGATTAGATAAGGCTTCTTGGTGGAGGTGACACTTACTGGAAAGCTGAAGGATTAAAAGGAGGAGCGAGAGGGAGAATATTTGGGGAAGGCAGATTTGCAGATGAAAAGACCCTGAGAAGGGTCCGGGCTTAAAGGCTTGCAGGGGCTGCCAGAGGCCAGAATATCTGAGCAGATGAACAGAATGGGGCAGTGATGAAAGATGGGGTTGGAAAACGTGTAGGGGATAGAAGATGCAGGGCTTTGGTCTTGGAGGGAAACTAGTATCTTATTCTGCCTGCAATAGGAAGCTATTGCGGAGTTTGAGGCAGGTGGCTAACAACTGGTATACATTTTTAAAAGATGATTATAGCTACTCGTGGAGAAGGGACTGGATGGAGAAAAGCATGAGGAGTAGTGACAAGTATAGTGTCACAGTCCAGGTAAGAGATGCTGGTGGCTTTTCTTGGAATGGCAGTGGAGAAGGGAAGTGGCTGGGTTTGTGAGACTCAGCAAGCCCTTGTGATAGACCAGACACAGGGAGTGAGAGCAAGGAGGACACCAAACACCCACGGATCTGGCCAACTTAGAAACTAAGTAAATTGTCACACCACTTACTGAGATGGAAAGAACCGAAGGAGGACCAGGTTTTCAGGGGAAATAAAAAGCTCCACTTTGAACATGTGAAGTTTTAGATGCTTATGCATCATCCGAGAGGATCTGTCCAGCAGGGAACTGGACATAGAGTTGGAAGGCTTAGATAAGAAGTGGGACTTTACACACAGCTGGTGAGCCAAGGAGAGTAGGAAACAGATACCCAGCAGACTTTCACTCTGCTCTTCAGGCTCCCTCAGGATGCTTCATCTTAAACATCCTAAACATGTTTTTATAAAACTGCAGAATTAAAGTTAAGTTTATAGGGATGGGAGTGGGATCTATATACCATCATATTTAATCACTTTGCTAGGTCAACCAATATTTTGTGTGTGAATATCCTGTTTTGTGAGCAAAGCATAGTCAGCCAAATGAACACATGATTAAGCTGAGAATGGGAATCAGTATGGTTGCCGTTTGCTGTGTTCGCTGTTCTTAGATGGACATTAGCTAGTTAATGGGCATTAGTAACACATCTGAAGACCCAACTTTCTGACCATGTAGGGTTTTCGAATAGTCAGTCAACATGATCAAACAAATGAACTGAATTACCTTTTGACTGATAACTACATGATGGTTAAAATAACTACATTTTTTGGACAAAGTACATGTATAACCATTTCTTACTTGAAATGTTTTACCTCTCACTAAAGATATAATTTGATAGCCTTATCCTCATTTCCTAAAGAGATTTAAGCAAAAGAAACTGGAGAAAATACTATCAGCTAATACTGAATGACGACTGCTGGCTACATGTCATGTATTTTATGCACATTAATTAATTAATCTCCACAACAGTACAATGCCTTTACTATTGTTATCCTCTTTATACAGGTAGGGAGATAGGCTCATGGAGTGTATCAGTCAAGAAACACAGTCCATGCCAGGTTCAGGGAAGGAAATTTAATATGGGGTACATTATAAAGGTGTCTGAAAGAGTGACAAGGGATGATGGGTGACAAGGCAACCCAGGGATTAGCAACAGCAATAAATTAATCACATCTCTGGAGCTAGAAGGATCCAGGGAGGAGGCCATGCTACCAGACGTCAGAGGTTAGGGAAGCCCAGAGCTGGTACAATCACAGAGGACACTCAGCCATCTCTAGAGACCCGACCCCAAATAGAGAGAAATAGGGAGACATGCCCTGGTTTCTTTCTTGCTCCCACCCTCTGATCTCCTCTTACTGCCCGACTGGCCAAACAGAGCTGGAAGCCCAGGCGGCTCGGGAAGCTCAGTCTGAGTCAGCCTCTGCAACGGAGAGAAGAATAAGGCCAGGAAGGGAGACATGCCCTGGTTTCTTTCTTGCTCCCACCCTCTGATCTCCTCTTACTGCCCGACTGGCCAAACAGAGCTGGAAGCCCAGGCGGCTCGGGAAGCTCAGTCTGAGTCAGCCTCTGCAACGGAGAGAAGAATAAGGCCAGGCAGAGCTGGGAGTAAGCGGGCAAAAGACCACCATCCAGAGTTTGGGTAACACAGGCTGTCTGACTTCAAATTCTGAGCACATGCTACTAATCCATATTGCCTAATTATTATGAAGAGACACAGGGCTTTGATGGAGCATCCAGTCTGGCTCTAATGAGCATGTCATTTCACATATGAATATATATGATACAACACAGTATTTCATATACATATATCACATATATATGACTGACATGATATATATATGTATATAGTATGTATCTGTGTACACTGCATGTATTTTTTATCTCATCACCTTCTTTGGGATCCCTCTGGTCTGTCTTTCACATCCCTTTTAATATACTAGATTTTAAAATATTTTTAATTCTTAGAAATAAAGGCTGGGTGAGATGACTTCTTAGAACATAATCATTAAGCTAAGCCTGTAAAGGGCCCAGGCTGGCGGGGTCGGCTCAGGCGGTGCCCAGCCATCTGCCTGGGTAGCTGTGAGCCTCAGCGCTCCATGCCCCCAGGTCCACATCGGGAAAAGGAGAGCAGGCACTGAAAACGTGCATTCTTAATTGTCTTTAAGGTCCTTCCTGCTCCATGGTCCCATTATTCTGTTTTCAGGGAAAGGTCAAATCTCTTGATTTGGCCTCCAGGAAAAAACCCAAACCCAAACCCAAACCCAAACCGGCATCACCCACAGGAAGAGACAAGAACCCCGGCCCCACACACCTGTCCTGGCCGACCCACAGCACGCCTGTTCTTTCCTCTGATGTCTCACCTCCACATCACTTAGATTTGGTCACATGTCCTTTCACACAATATGGCAAATGGGATAAAGGGAATGTTTAAGCTCTTTATTAGATTTCTGACTGACTCAAACACACCTGCTCCATAGGAAGATATTTAGCTCTATTAGGTCATATATTTCATTTGAGTTTAATGATTACATCACCAGAACTAGTCTTCTCTGTTCAGTAGAGTAAAACAAAGAAATAAAAGAAACGACAAAATTACTGTTATCTTGCTGCTTCTAAATACTCTCTGTATCTTGCTATTGGGCAATGTCACAGGAAAATAACAGAAATCATCAGAAAAAAAATGTCTTCCAAGTCCAGAAAATTTACATAAAACACATTTATTGTCTCACTCCATAGACAAAAAATCTTTTTACTTTGATAAGATGGCAACCATATGAAGTGTTCATGAGAATGAATGAGGGGGGCTACTGACTTGGAGAGAGAAATACATTGACAGATGGTGGGAGATCAGGATAGTCTTGGATTTTGGTCTCTTAACTAAGATGCTCGGAACTTTCCACTGAGACAATGATCGGGGCTCGGCACTTGTGGGTGGCCTCCCAGTGAGTGAGAAGATGCGCGGAGAGGACATCGGTCACTCTGGATGTTGCCCTGCCTCTCTGGCCTCCAAATCACTGTAGCCGGCATGCTGGCTCCCCAGAAAGAAAGCACAATGTCGGAACCTACAGCCTCCTGCCATTGTCTCTCCTGCTTCCCTTGTGTCTGTATTTTGAAAGATGAGAGAGGCAGGGACAGGCCCCATTTCCTTTGCTTATTATTCATTTATTCGCTCATTTAATAAATATTTATGCACTCAGTTGTATGTGCCTGGAACTAAGCAATATAACCATATAGTAGGTCAGGATGAGGTGACGAGGACAAAGGTGCCCCTGTTATTTAAAAAAATTCTCAAACCTAACACTATCAATGCTTCAAAAAGGAAAGGATGAATATTCAGCTTCTAGGCCATTTTGGCTTCATTTCTGATCTGATGTATTCCTTTCCCACAGCCCTTCATCTTGGACTACAGAGGATTGATATTTTAATGGTAACATGAGAGCTCAGAATAAAGCTACCTTTTGATGACACATTTAACTAACACTGAATTATAACAGAACCTCAGTGGATGTGCACATGACATCTATATAATTAGAGGATAAATTATTTTTTATGATTTCTATTACTATTAATAAAAAATCAATTTATACTCAGAGACCATTGCATGTGAAGTGTTACCAGCATGGCTAACGCTTTGTTTCCTGGCTCTGAGAACTACAAAGGCAAAAGCGTCTGTAACCTGTAGCTGCTGTCCTTTCTCAGCTACCCTTCCTCTCCTCCCTCGTCCGTTCTTCTCTATTGATTTTCATTTTACTGTAACATTTTACAGCAAAACTCAAGAGAAATTAAAGGGCAGGACACAGTGACAGACATGCGGTCTGGTCAGCCCTGGAGTCACTAGAGGTCACCCCCAGGGGTGCCATGCGTAATTCTGGAGCTCACAGTGTGCCTCCAGAGGGAGTTATGCAGTGGCAAGTCAGTCTTGGACGCTCCGGGGTCAAGGGTAGGTAAAGCGGTGCAGGGAAGTTTATGTCACAGCTGTCCTTGCTCATGGAAGCAGAATTTGACCAAAGCTGTCAACTCCATCCAAGCCTACATAAGCTGGAGAGGGGTAAAGCAGCCAGCTTCTGTGTGGGGTGCTGTCTATATGTTCACCCCCCGTTTGCACTCAACGGTGCACACATTCTCCATGTATCACCATAAGCCAAGCTGTGTGTCCATTTTTGGAGCCCAGGCATCTTGGTGGAGACACTGAGGAGACACCCTCTGGGCTGAGGGTTTTAAATGTCAGCCTCCTTTAGGGTTTGCTGTGTGACCATTAGGGCATCAGCTAGGATCTTAAGTGATTGTCCTAAATTTTTTTTAGAGAAAAGTGGTCTTAGAAACAGGTGAAATCTGAGATGCCCTGGATGACTATCAACTAGCTCAAAGGATGTCTGGGAAATACCACCAAGTCCATTATCTATTTCTTATGTGCAAACTGCTCCCTTCTGAGAAGGTTTTTATGGGCTCAGAATGCCCATTACCTTGTTTTTCTTTTATGCCTTTTTAAGTTCACTTTGCCCCTTTATTAAATTGCTGCTTTTTAGTGATCACATCAGTTTTGGCTTTCTTGGCTAGAGCAAATTACTGTCATTTATGTCCCACCACTGCCTCAGGGCGTTTATTTCTTTCTGGTTGGTCTTTAACCTACAACATACTTTTGTGTTTACACTAATGGAATCTTGATGATGATAATGGGCAGAAGCTCAATTAGGAAACATTATGAATCAGACAGTGCAGTCTCTTAGAGTGTGCAATAATTTCCAAAATAACAAGGGGATTTCATTTTCTTTTGTCCCCTGCCTTTGAAATCTTTTCATTGTTTGTGCACCCCAACTCACAGTACTCTTCACACGTATTTCTCAGATTTACCAATAACAGCATCTCAGATGAGCAAACGCCTTACCTATTTGCCAATCCCATGGTACCTTTAACAGCTCCTTGTGCTCCATGATAGCTCTGTAAATTCAAAGAAAGCAGACCTGATGAGCAAGGTTATGATGCATTCTACCTTTTTTTTTTCATTTTTCACTTACCAGTTTATACAAATCACTAAACAGCCAATTGAATTTCAAAATAACTTGGGTCACTCAGAGGCAAATCAAATCAGGCAGCCTGAGGTTCACCCCTGAAGGATCTAGTTAGGTGTGGCCAGCAGCAGGGGGAGTGAGCCAGCAGGCATGGTGGAGCTCAAACCTTTTGCTGTCCTCCCCACCCAAACAGTCTGCCTTTGTTTCTTCTCGTGTAGATGTCTTCTAAAAAGTAAACGGTGAGGTATGGAAACTTTCTTTGCTTCTGGTTTAATCAATTTTATGACCGATCATTCTTTAAGGCAGTGGTTCCCAAACTTAAATGTACAAAAAGCCACTTGGAGAGCATGATGAAACAGTTTTCTGGGCCCCATCCCTAAAGATTCTGATTCAGTAGATCTGGGTGGGGCCATGGATGTGCATTTCTGTCAAATTCTTTCCTGGTGTCAGTGCTACTCGTCAGAGAACCACATTGTGAGAACCAGTGGTCCAGAGAGAACCAGGAGGTGAGGCTGGCTCCACCCACCGGCGTGGCTGTGGTTTCAGTGTACCCTCGATGTATTCTACTTGCCAAACACACCCATAGGCTACTTCCACTCTTGTGGCAGCAGTGTCCCTGAAGGGCTCTGTCAGCTCTAATGGACTATTCCTGAAGCAAATGAGCTCTAGATCTCTGAATACACTGCCTGGATTCAAGAACAATAACCCATGAAAGGAGCCATCCATCTATGAAATGTTGGTTATGAATAGCTGAACTAGGCAATTTTTTCCCTCTCACAAAGCTGAAGCACCAAACTTTAAAATGCTATCAGACTTTCAAAATGAACCAAAAATTAACCCTTCTCAGGGAGTTTTCCCATCTCCAGGTCTTGTTTGCTATGTAGCTTTTCCTGGTTATCTCAGGTTACTGGTATTTGGAGGATTCTTAGAAACAGCCTATTTGAAAAACATGTTTAAGGTGATGCCAAAATGTCTCCCATAAATAATTTCAGATTTGAACCAATATAGTTATGAAGTACTTGCAGAAAGAGATTTAGTAAAATTAGAATTACTTGCTTTGTAGAAAGGACTTTGGTGATATTAGACTGAAGTGAAACTAAAATGCGGTCTCTATTGATGGAAAATTATGCTTTTATTGACACTTTTTCTCACAACAATTTCTAATGCAGTAGTCAGTAATGATTTATATGCTCAGAAATGAATTAGTATAAAATTGGTGTTTTGGACTTGTTGATGCTTAGTGAGTGTCTGTGTTATATCTTTAACTGTTTAAGAAAAATGGAAACTGAATTTCTAAGAGATGAATTTGAAATATGATTCATTAGTGCAAATCCATAGGCAATAAAATAACAAATTTATCAAAGGGCAAATTTAAACTATAGGTTTTCTGTGACAGATGTCACTAGTAAACAAAATGTCACTTTTTGGAAGTACATCAAATCATGGCATTTATGCTTAGTTTTTGTACTTCTGTAAGTAACAATCCACTGACTGGTTTGGTAGAATCAATGTACTTCTAAGGCTTTCTTATAAATTATCTTCAAAGTCCATTAAATGTTTTTCTAATAACTTATAATAAACTTGCTTAGTTTGTGAAGAAATTTAGCAATAAAGGTACTGAGTTTTCAGACTTCATGTGGGATGTTGGCGAAAGGTTTCCAGCCTTGATTTTTATAAAATAATGTGACTAACCCATAGCCCACTGAAAAAATTGCAGTAAGTCCTAAGAGTACCTGCTGTCTGAATTTCTTGTTAAATTTACTCACAATTGAATTCCACTGAAAAATGCCCCGAAGAGTCCAATCATTCCCAGGAATTCCACTCGACTCAGGGTTCGGATGATGTATTCTTCCCAGACGTTTGAGATGCCGTAAAGGGTGGCTCCTCCTAAGACCAGAAGGTCACCTACCAACTTATTTTCCCCTAGGAACCAAGACACAAAGGATGCTTTATTAACATTTTCCTAATGAGAATCTGGCACCAGCAAATTGAGTTCCTTTGCCTATTGCAATCTATTTTCAGAGAAGTCTGGTAATTTCCCAAATAAGATTTAGTTAAGTTTGTTTATCTGCAACCCAGATATATTCTGATGTAAAAAGGTTGCCTATGTCTGCTCAGCTACAAGTCTTCCTTCAACTAAGAAAGGGACTAGTTTCTTCTAGATTATACCATCTCCACAAAGCCCCATGTCTTCTGTCGAGGTATTTATCTAGGAATATATGCTAATATTTGTACATGTTATATTTGCTGCAGGGCATTTTCCTGCTTAGCGAACATGGTGTAGAACAAACAGAACCAATCTGAATTTTCACCCTCTGCTACACAGACAGAAGCCATAACAGTAGTTGAGACTCTTTATGCTGACCATAGGCAAACTGGGTACTTGCTTAAAAAATGAGAGTGAAAGAAATTATGTTGAAATTTTCAACTCTTTCAAAGTAAGTAAATAAGAGTGAAAATATATACAATTCACTATCACAGTAATATTTTCCTTTTCTATAAAAAAAAGTTTTAAATTCAATTTTGGTTGGTTTTGGTTTACATTCATTATTTGGTAATTTTTAATAATGCTGTATCAAGCTCTTTCCTATAATTGGGCAAATTCTCTCCACTCCAGGAGGTGTGAAGCCAGGAAGGAGAGCAGAAACCAGTAGTCTCTAGCTAGCTCTAGGGAGCACACAGGTGTGGGGCAGACCTGCATCTCTGGGGCAGAAGAGGTGCAGGATGGGGAGCATGCTGTCTACAGCAGGATTCTAAGGGAGGAACTCATCCTAGAGCAGCCTTGGTCTGCCGGGTTAGCTGGAACAGCCTAAAGCTGCAGAACTGATTGTCACCGTCGGTCGTGAGCACTGAGCATCCTCTAGGAAGTGGCTTCACTTCAGAGTCCAGGCTGGGCTTGGGGAGAGGCCTCTTCATTTATGCCTCTGCGGTCACCTTGGGAGAGCATGTTTACTCTAAATGGTATCGCTTTTTTTAAGGCAACCTCCCACTCCTAGTAAGCATCAGAAAGAGAGAAGAAACTCTGAAAGGCAGGAGAGCTCTCTGGATTCACCCTCAAGGGAATGGAGCTGAGGATCTGCATCTGAGAGGGTGGGGACCCTTCCTGGGCTCACGGGGAATGATGAGACAGGACCAAGAGGGGGCAGCACACCTGCTGGGAGGTCCTGGGTGGTCTTCTGGGGAAACTGAGGTTGCTTTGATGGAGAGTGTCATCTTCAGCAACCTGATTGATCTTTTTTATGCATCAACTTGAAAATAATGATAAAACTTTTAATTTCAAGTAGTTCATTTGAGCAATAACTGGTAAAAGAAAATATGTCCATTACTAAAATTATAAAATTATAATGAACATGAATCAGTCACTTCACTCAGGAACCTTTTCAAAATCTTGTGCTGACGTGGGGTCATTATTATTAATATTAATTATTGTACTAGTAAAGTATGGAAGTACTGCTTAACAGAATTCTTGGCTAATGAAATTATATGAGTGGATTCAGGAAAGTTAAATTATTAATGAAACACTTTAAGAGAAAGGGAAACATTGGTCTATCTTTTAAAAGTCCTAAAAGGAGGCCATACTTTTTCAGTGAATGGTCTCAGCAATCTTTTCAAACTCCACATTCGTACATTTATGGTCTATTCTGTTAACTAGCCTTTGACTCTGAAATCTGCTCCCCAGTACTTTGAATTTTCACCAATACAGTGATAATTATTGTTAATAAAACAATTTTGTATAACCTCAAGTCCAAAAATATTTTCTAAGTTATCTGTGACAAAAAGATTAAATATTATTTATGAAAATTTCACTAGTAATTGTATGAGTTTTAAACCATTTAAAATAGACACATATACTATGTTAGAAAATTTAGTTGATTAAATATAATTAAATTAACAAGGACATGATTTTATCCAATCATAAGTAGCTATATAATGAAGTATTTGATATGATACAAGAATACTGGGACTAAATTTTGTGTCTACAATCTGAACCTAGTTAACTGGAAATTGAAACATAGTGCTCCATGTTTTACTCAGTTAATACAGCATGTACCTGACGAGTAAAACCAGTTGCTCTGCAATGTTCACGGGGAAAATCATCCCCAGCATCTGCCATTTATGTATGTATACAACCATGACAAGTGACAACGTTTTGTGAATTTTAGGTAAATGGATACATTTGAAATGATGAGAAGTCCATTCAACCCAGTGCCTTCTTTCCCTCTAAACTTCACAGCACTGTACCTGGGTATGGTACCCACTGCACTTTACTCCATGTCTGTTAACTGTTAACTTGTATGTCTTCCCTCATTCTTCTGTTTTCTTACATAATAGGGTTGAGGGGCATGGTTTGCGACTTACTTAGCTTTATATTGTGTGGTCCCTAGCATGGATCCTGGCAAATAACAATTGTTCAAAAAATGTTTAAATAAATTGAGTTGACTAGAAAGGTCTTAATCCATCCTATGGTAAAGATTATGAATGGCAACAGCTTTCAATTCAGGTAAACAAGGGCTCTAACCACATCTTTGTCATCTGTTAGCTGGTTAAACACTGGGCAAGCTACAGAATCTTTTTGTACTTCAGTGTCCTTTTTAGAAAATGAGCTCATTGTGGAACTACAGTAAGGTAGTATAAAATAATGTAAATAAAATAAAATAATGTGAAATGCTTAGCATATCATCTGGTACTTATTAAGTGTTCCCTAAAATGGTGGTTAAAAAGAATTAATTAATCATTTCCTTTGATAACCACCTGTCTCTTTGAGTTGGCCATTTCTTATTTTGAATTGCTTTTTGGTTCTAATTATTCTAGTCATAAACACCTTGCAAGAATTAGTTTTACTTATTAGATTTGGGAGTACTAGAAACACCACATTTGGAGGGATACTTGTGTCTGCATGGTGGTAGGAAGAAAAAAGGGAAATTTTTTAAAAGTCACTGTTTAACACTATATCAAGAAGTAAGCAGTGAATTATACAATAATGTTAAAAGACTATTAAAATGCAATTTCTGAAAATGAACGATCCCATTCAATATCTTTGAGTTTTAAATGTGACCAACCATCTTGTTTTTCTGGGGCTTTCTTGGTTTTAGCACTGAAAGTCCCACATCTGAGGAAACCCCTCCATTCCTGGCAATCGGAGACAGTCATTCATTCTAATTTACTACAGCAGAAGAACTGTACATTTCTTAAAGAATCACTTATAAGTATTAAGTGCGGTACAGCAGAAAGAATACTGTCTGGATTTCACATCTAGGCCACACCATTTAGGACTTGGGTGCCTTTTCACAAGCTTCTTATATTCCTTTAGCCTTGATTTCTTCAGTTGCAAAAATGAGAATAAACATACTTTCTTTGCATGATTAGGAGGATAAATGAGATAATGCACGGGCACCAATAAAATTGTCACTTTAGTTTGATTGTGTTTAGTTATCTAGCTCCTTGAAAATATCTTCTCTTCCTTGAAGTGAATATAAAATTATGTCTAATAAAAAGAAAAAAGGTTATTATGGATATCTAACATTTTTTATAAATGAGCTATAAGATGAAATAAATATAATATGGTAGAAAGATATTTTGAAAAGCGAGAAATGTATTTTATAATAAAGAACCGCTTAAACTGAATTTTATCTAACCTATTACTTTCTAATCTTCCCTTCCCTCTTTGTACACCACTCCCTAGGTTCCAAGGCAGAGTCTCTGGTGCCATGGACTGTGGATGCCTTTCTTCCACCTGTCTCCAATGGGCGAATTTGTTGTAGTTTTCATACAAGCATAATTCTTAGCACATCATTGTACCCAAATATTTGCATTTTGTGTCTGGAGTGCCTAATGCCATTTGAGAAGTTTCCTTCAGCAAGGTTTAAATCAAAATAAAGAACCCCCGAACAGCTGATGGAGAAACACTCTAACAAGTAAAATTAGAGCAATTACTTCAATTTTAATGAAGTCAAAGTAACTTCGAACTGGCAGTTATCAAAATGTTTGAGGACAAGCTAAGATGAACCATGGATCAAGCAACATAAGAAGGATCAAGTCAAATATTCTCTTTTCTGGTGAAAAGTTCTTGATATGGCAATGACAATTTATATTGAATTGAATGCCTGATCAGAGTTCTAGCGAGTGCCTTAAGTATTTTAGAGAAGTTCTGTCCCTGGGCAATTAATACAAAATTGAACCAACTCTACCATAAATGTGAAAGTAAATGGACTATTTTTAATAACGATGCACACCAATTTTAGGATTATATTGTCCTCAGAACCAGAGTGGTTTTTTTTCAAAACATTTTATATGATAGCTTAAATTGCTACCTAACTTAATATTTTTATAGAGGTAAATCATGTCAAATCACTATTTTGGATCTGTGGGGAAAACTGCAATATTTCCAGATCTCTAGCCTGGCCTTAGTATATCTCCATATCAGTAGGTGATTACAAGAGGGGAGCAAGGGCATATCTGGGCCAGAGAGGTTGGGTTGGGTGGGGTCCCTTTCTCCAGCCTGGTGACCGAGACACGGGGGTTCAGAAGTGGAAGACTGCTTGTAGGCAATAAACGGGTTCCTTTCACTTTATATTTCCCTTTGACTGATTTCTGTTTCAAACGTAATTTGTCCCTGGCTGGGAATAGATTTTCCCCCTAGAGTTACACCTGGAAGTAGTTGGTCGGACCTCTGAACCCGAAATCTATCCTCATGTGTGTGATGCTTGTGTGGGCTGCCGGTAGAGATGGTGGGGAGATACCCAGAAAACCCCCTGGATGGTGGGGAGGCCCTGTGGCTGCAACGGTGGAGGGTGTGGCTTCATCCAGGAGCCCCCCATCCCTAGGGCTTCCTCTTGCAGAATCCCTAGTGGGGAATTGCTCTAGGAGAAAGCACCTTCTAGATGGGAGGGCCCTTCCTCCGACTTGGAAAGGGTGGAGACAGC